AGGAAGTAGGTGATATCATCATCTTTTGCTGTTGTTAATCTGTCAGTAAAATCTTACAACCTCGTTGTAAATGATGGTTTGTTTATCATGATGAAGGAGTACACAAGACAGTGACTGACAGGATGCATGCAGTGAGATAAAAAGATGGAAAGTTTTTTTCTCATCAGGTATCTACTCTTCAAGATTTTCAAGATCAATAACAAGACCATCAAATGCATCAATGTGATCTTGAATCTTTGTGCCAAAAACTTTCATCCTGAATCACGTCAGCTTTAAGGAAGCATGTAGCATGTTAGTCGGTTACTTACAATGAAACTAACGCTCGTGAGCCTTAAACAAATTCAATTGAATGCATTTTTTGTATTCATGCACTTGCTTCAAGACCAAAGATTATAAATGAAGTATGACAATGCTTGTAGCTTGTTTTTGAAGTTACTTCCATTTGCTATCATTAAAATTAGACTATTTTGACCACAACAACATGCCAAGATTCATTGCCTTCAACTTTCCTTTTAACTGTGTCTTCCAAAGGAAATAATCACTACGTCGGTCGTATTTAACAATGTTGTAACCTATTACTCCGGACTTACTAATTGACATCTCAATCCAACAAATGTTGAAAGTTATGGCAAAAAGTGTTTGAGTGACAAAATATTTTTTTACATTCATCAGTTGCATCTCCAAGGAATTTCCAATGGTATCAACATTCTAGAAAAGAATATTTGAGTCAATGTTTCCACAATCAACTATAAAAATCAACGACAATCATCATACTTTCATTTTTGTCCACCTCCGTCATGCTTTGTTTTTCTCCGTCTGGTTGTAGATCCGATAAGATTCAAAGATTTCTAACAGGTTCGATAGATTCACACAAGTTCAACACAAGCCGTGGGTTCAAAATAAATTTGGATGCAAGTTTGATCATTGTTTTAAGCTAATTGAAAAGTGGAAAATTTTCAAAATTTAAACAGTCCATCCGTCATCCGTCACATGTCTGTAATATGTTTTTTCTTCATCACTTGTCTGCCCTGATTTTACTATGATCTATGGATTAAATCTCACTCAAATTTACCTCATATGGCTTTTAGATAGCTCATCATGATTCTAGAAAATAAAGATTTCTTAATGTGTCTTTGTTTCAAACAAACTATCACACCAACTTTCCACTGTCGTGCAAATATTTATCGCCATACACTTTACATTGCTGACATGCTACACACATACATACACACATATGACACAAAAGCGTACACACTCAAATGTACCATAACTTCGAGTGAAATATGTGTTTTTCTCCAATGAAAAACACGTCAGTGTCAATTATCCCATTGGCAAAAAACCGTCACAACCATAAGTCGAGTCCAACCCACTTCAAAGAGACTCCAGGTGGACGCTTACGGGCAGACGCACAACTCCCAACGCTAACAGGCTCGACTCGAAGACCGTCAGTTCTTTGAGTCGCCGTCGGCACTATAAACCTCAGAAGTGAAACCCTAGACCGACTGCTATTGTTAGTAAGAATCAAAAGTACATGACACCACTCATCACTCAATTGCAAACACTCATCGATATTCAAAAAAATAATGAAACTTAAATTTATATTAATAAAACAAGTACTCACACAAAAAACTTTCAAAACATGCTTAAGAGTATTTTTCTAACTATATATATATATATATATATATATATATCTTACTTAAGAAGTTACTATAGTACTATATGGTAATTCTTAGCTAATTTATACTTACAAAGATAAATCATGGTCGGTTGGACTAGTTTTCCAATACATGACAAAATGTATTTGGCCTTCTAAATCCATAGATTCACAATAAACTCTCAAAAATTTCTTGAGAGTTTAATCTCTACCTTTATATATATATATATATATATATATATATATATGATTTGAGAAGTTACCATAGTAACATATGATAACTCTTATCTAATTTACATTTACAAAAATAAATCATGATAGATTTGACTAGTTACCAATAGGTGGCTTTATGTCAGTGGACTTGTAAAACTTATAAATGTTTTCTAACCCATAGATTAGAAAGCATTTGAAGTAGCGTAGTGTCACCTATTTGTCATCTAAATTTGGCAAATTTGTTGCGTCGATTCGTTTTCTGCTTGCCGTCCGTCCGCTTGCGTGAACTTTCTCGTTGCTTGCTTGAACTCGTTTATTGATTGTTGTCTTGGCAACAAGTAATTCCCGGTGTGTTGGAGGATTTGACGCTAGATAGTAGAAAAATCTACAAAGTGGAGGTTTAAATGTCGTAAATGGAGAAAAAAATCATCATCGTTGCGCTGAGGCTAGTATAATCTAAAGTTGAAAAATCTTACCGTCCACTAATCGAGGTTGAGTGAGCAAAGCTTGCAAAGCTATATTCAAGCTCCAACCATAACACCGTTCAGCGTCAAACTTAGCGAGATCTTCATCGATTAGAATTTTTGCTGAAGAAGTTCAAACAATAATTGGCTACTCTTAAGATGTCTGAATTTCATTGTTTAATGTAATTTGTAAACAAGCTTGCAAATTGAAATGGTGTTATATTCCCAAAATTCTCTTCAGCATCAACAAGTGTGAACTTGTGATACATACAATTTAGACTGATCACAACAAACTTTTAGAGTCCGTCACGAAGAGTATTATTCTCCCTTCAAGGGGCAACAACATCATGAATTTGTATCCAACTCCAAGCTTGGACTACAATTGGCAAGTCTAGACTTAAAAATAACAAATGCATGTCATGATATTTTTCTACTTAAAATGTATCATCATAAAATTAGACAAAATAATAGACTATTTCACAACTCTTTCTAAATTTGCAACTCTCATTGTTGGAGAAATTTTGATCATTATACTAATAATCATCAGTTTCAACATTGGGTGAGAACCATTGTAAGCAATGTGCTTGCATTGCTAAAAAATAATCTGTAAGTCAATGTTATACTTAAACAATAATAGTAATAAGTGATATGACTTCAATTGTTAATCATGCTAGCCTATGTCTATAAATCTTAGTTGTTTAGTTTTGAGGTAATAGTTGAACAATGAACCATAGTTTACGTTTCTCTTCTTCTGTATATGGCTTGATAAGATATTTTCATACTTTTTTATCTACTTGTCACCCTCCATGTACAAAATGATATTATAACATCTTGATTTATTTCAATGTCTAGATTTCCTCTATCTTAGAGTAGAATTTAACATTTGACATCACTATCTTTGAATCACATCTACATTTTCTTCAGCAACATCTCCGTGTTATGTATAGTGATACTTGTATGCTGTAGTAAATCATAGGATATAACATCGCTATCTTTAAAGCTCATGTAAAATTTCCTGGACTACAGCATATACTGAATGTCATCAAAGTTCTATTTTGTTGTGATAGGAAGTGACAACCTGGAAAAGATCATCCTTACATTCTTCATATTGAATCATCTCTCGAAGCACATTATAATATGACCAAGTCGAGAAGAAGGAAAAGATGTGATGCAAAAGTACTGGTTGGTGATATAGTTGGTCTAAAAATCAACCATATACTTGAGTTCCTTTCCATGACAAGAATGAACGCAATCTCGGATTGCGTGGGGATGGTGTTGTCCTGGAGTATGGATATCAATGGCAAATACAACGGACATAGTAAAGCAACAAAAAGGATGGAAGATCCATCATGTCTCTAGATATGCAACCCAACGGATAACTAGTACCAAGGTGTCTGACCTACGATCAATGACAATTCAGGTTTCCCAAATGTATGTGATCTGATGACTCTACAGAGACTTGGTGCTATTCTTAGGCAAAGTGTCAATCTATTAAATCTAAGCCACACAGAACAAGGTAAGGGATGACTCTCAACTTGAATAGTGTACTACTTACGAGAGATCTATTGGGAATGCACAAATGAACACAATGAATTAACACCAGTGTCCAAACCTCCAAAAAGTGGGATGGTTTCCTCCATGATCGATAAAATATGCTTCTAGAGAAAGATAATTGAGCATCATGATGCAGTCAATGACTGTCAGTGCGTGCTTCTCATGTCGATGAATTTAACACAGATAATGACATAAGAGAGGTACAAGATGGAATATATGGGAAGTGATGGTCATAGTAGCATCGTAAAATGTGTGCTTCCCATTTCGATATGTCTAGCAAACTTCCAAGTGATTAAATGATTTTCCTATTAAATCCAAAAAACATTAAAACAGGTACAAGATGAAATATATGGGTTATGATGTTAGTAGTGGCGTCCAATTAGATTGAATGCATGAAAAAGCCACATACTAGTATTAAGTGTAGTAGATCATTGTATGCATGAGATTTTGTGATCATGTCTCATTAAATTAGTGCTCAAAACCAAAAGCTTACTAACACCCCATTATGTGTACCAGAACAATCTACTAAAAAATATTTTCCAAAAGAAAACTTGGTAATATGAAAACTTACCCCATACACCTAAGCTCAAGAAAGGTTAGTTTGGATAATAGGGCAGCTAAGTAGCAAGTTTGTCCTTCAAAAATGCATCATTTATCATCAAATAGAGATGAAATTGTATATCATGAACGTAGGTGCGCATATTATTTGCTACAGCAAACACTTGGTAAAGATATCAAGAAATAAATGGCAGTTTTTGTATAAATGCAAACGCGTGTAGGTCACCAAAAGGATATCTGAGGAAAGCCTATAGTCGGCGATTGTAGAACTAAGCATTCGCAGCCACTCTGTGCCCACATCTCTATCTATTGAGTGTGGAATTCAGTATTAGTTCAGTGGTCTGATGTCATTTGTGGTAAGTGGATCCCGAGTCGAAGTCGCTCATTAGGTTTATGCTCACGGTCGTCTACTATCATTATTTCATTCTAATAAATTCTAAAAAAAACTACAATCAAAAGTTATCTGTAGAATAACTTGGCGCACACAACAATGCAAACTTGCAATGAAGGCAGTGGAGGTCCACAGAAGAAAAAGCATTAGTTTATACATTTTTGTTGGTAATAACTTTAGGAATCATTTTTTTGGCTATTTTTTATAGAGATTGGCAGGGGGTGATTTACCACTACCTTTTGAGTTATTAGTCAGTGTGTTAGTGCATGTGCATACAACTAAATCTATAGGTCAAGTTAGACGTGCCTGTATCTTCCTCTGATAAACTTCGAAGAATACCAATGATCTATGCTAGTATGCTCTTAGCAACGCACTCGTTCGTACAATGACGGATCGACTTATAATACAAGGTCATCGAATATAACAGGTCCTTGGATGTAATTTGTCGTGGTAGAAGAGCCAAATCCGACTACTAAGAAAAAAATTTATAAGAATAGCTGAAATTTTTTTTAAACATGATTCATAAGTTCGCTCACCTTCAATGAGAAACTTTCTACCTCGACAACCCAAAGGTGTAGCATGGTCTAGATGGTGAGCGTTCTCAAAGGAGGAATCCTTACAAGGAGAAAACAGCGAATGTCGAGTACCTGTGTTTGTCTGCAAGCTTAAGCTCAGACTCAGTTTTAAAAGTACCAACTTGAGTAATGTGTCGCGAACTTTCGGTACCAACCTTGCATGCAGATGAAGCATAATTCGTACAGCTTCGACCATCTCTGAAGAGAATTTTCCTTGAGGCTCTCGAAACTCTGTGCTCGGAATCTTTCTTTCCAAGTCATACTTCCACATCCAACAGATAAAAGGTGTATACTTTCATGTACAGACAGACCTGATAAGCACGCTGCTGTTGACTTCATTTTCTTCAAGTACCAAGAATTGTGATGAACAATGCGAAGATTCTCGTCGAATGCCTACACTGCTAAAGATACTATAACGAAGAAAAACGAATGATCCCGAACATGAGGGCAGATAAGGAAGTAAAAGACAAATTGCATACTTTGATCTCAATCTTTGAGCCTGTCACTGAGTTTATGACATTGGATCTAGATCTTGTTCGTAATTCGTAGGTTCATGGTACCGCTTACCCCGTAATCTGCAGTACAATTGCCCAACTCTGCAAGGTGACACATGATTACAAATAAGAAAGCCGTAGCTTATCTGTATTCAGAAAACAAACTTCTGCTGACCACCATCTCAAATGTGAACTCACCAGCAACGACAAGTACAGACAAAACGAAATGTAAAGATAAGGTGATGGAAGGTGACTCACAGGTTTGTTTGTATAAAATATGGCTGTTGTAAGTCCGCATATTGTCCTCTAAGACAAATGAAACAAACTCATATACTCGATGCCTAAAACCTTGATATGGTAGCATAATTGGGCAAAAGAGTAAGTGGTTAGAAAGTCCAGCTAGAAAAGTACAAAATTTACAAACATCAAGAGAATTGCAAAACTGTACTGCGTACAAGAGAGAAATGAGTATGAGGTGCATTCCGGTAAGATTCGGATTCAACTGACGCAAAGGAGGTTCCTGAAGCTCTTGTAGACAACCAGATCTGGACATACGATATCGTGATGTACAACCAATAGCAGACACAGGGCTAGGTCCTGAAACCATTAGGACAAAAAGACGAAATGGAAAAGAAAAAAAATATCTAATTTATAAGTAACCCTCTGAAAACTGAGTCAAAGTCTTGCCTCCTTGAATGCTTGCCGAACACACTGGTTTCTTGTGTGTACAGCTTATATATCAGGCCGTTAATGTTCTACTCTTTCGTGAGTGGATCATCAGGAAAGCTAAGAAAAAGAAAGACATCCTTGAGACAGAGGGCATGCTCCCGTCGGCTTTAATGAATTGGTGAAAATTACATGTGGACCATATGAACAACGGTACAACATATGTTTTAATCTAGATTATTGCCTTCAACATACAGCTATGAGAGTCACCTAGGATTTGAGTTCATAGTTGATCGATCCTGCGGCAAGAGAAGGTGTCTCGTAAACTGGCTTTACCCAGCCTGATCTGGCATAACGCTTGCCTTTGTTCAAGTTCAACTTTACAGAAGGTACTCGTCTTGCAATGGCCTTCCAGACCATATTCACGGCATCGTGCGGCACTGTTGGGTGCTGGTATTCGAAATTGATACTCACGTTCTTTAACTTTTTCCACAATCTGGTCCACTCCTCTTGCTTCACACTTCGCAGCAAGTCTATGACGAAGTCTCTTTTGAGAGCATCTTCAAACCGGACGAACAAACAAAACTCTGAGTAGTCTACCTCGTCTTCGTATGGAAGTTCAATTTCATCACTTATGATCACAGGTACGCAGTGACTGGCAATGGCATCAAAAAGGCGATTTGAAGAAGGAGTGTCTCCAGCAAGATGGAGGCAAAACTTGGACGACCGCATGCCGACCATGGCACTTTTGATGCCATTGCTTTGAGTGTTCCCAGTTGCGAAGTGCACTCCTTCTTCATCTTTGAGCAACTCGAACAGCTTCTGACGGATGACGCCACCCTGCATACCAAGCTCTTCGTTAGTCGAGAAACAGGGAAGCAGATTTCCTAGAAAAACTGAAACGACCTGATACACTCCTTGGAAACACTGGAGGCTGAATTTCTACAGAATTGAGGACATCCCCGGCGTACACATGCATGCTTTATATTGAGATCGGAGCTGCGTTACACTATTTTCCAGATTATGTCTTCCTCATGTTATGATTATCAGCTAGCTATACTCCTCAGCACAAGTCGTTCTTAAATTCTGAACTCCATTGAAAATTCCATTGTACTAGGTAACAAGGAAGGGATGAAAGAAGGAAGAGAATCCCACAACAACCTAAAACTTGAAAAGAGCACGTCAAAAGCCTGTACTTGAAGCCTAAAATTGAAATGATATAAAAAAAGTCGTACCTCTTTTCGAACAATCGCCCCTTGGAAAAAGAGCAGCATGGGGCGAGAATCATATTGGCTAGTGTCATCAGTGTATGACGTTATGACATGCTTGTAAGGTGCCACGATGTCCTTCCCGATGTTGGCCACCGATGGTGGATAGCGCCCGAAGTCGCAAACGACATACATGGCAGCGCTGAGCTGCTCTCGGACTAGATGCAAGCTATTAGGGTGGTGGATCACGACAATGTGATCTTTGCCCCCCGAGCGCTGCCACCATGATTGGTTCCTCAAGAAGTAGAGAAGTTGCTCCTGCAGTAGCTCATTCCGATCTTCGTTCTCCTTGTGCTCAATCTTCGTGTACTTGTTATAGCTCAGTGACGCGAAAAAAGGGACATAAAATACGTCCGCATGTTTGGGGTTATAAACTCGCACGGCTGTACACTCTGTACGTCTTTCGGGCATGGTAGATGTTAGCAGATCTGCCGTGAGCCAGTATTCGGGGCTATGCTGTTGGTACAAGCCACCCGGGTACCTTGGCAGGCTAGACAGATTTCTGGGCCAAGGGTTTTGGGGTTCTAAAGAAGGTTCGAAAGTACTTGTCATACCGAAGTGAAATTCTGAAGGCAAATCGTACATGTAAACTTTTAGCATCGCAAATCTGGGATCACATGTCACCCCTCGGTCCGTCAGTGACATAATCTGCTCGGCCCATTGCGCGTCCCTGACATCCAGTTCATGAGACCGACCATACAACCTCCAGCGATCCGCTAAGTGCATACCTCCAGTCCATCCCTCATCTTCCGAATTCAAATTCGGATCTGAGGACTGCCCGAACGTGTGGGCAAACATGAAGGAGCCGGACAGAGCAAATATTGACAAAAGGCATATCGTGGCCAAGATATAGCCTTTGGGTATCCAATTCTCATATCCTCTATTTGGCCTGTTGCTCGATCCGATTTTGCTATCGTGAAATGATGTGGAAGGCAGTGACAACGAAGGGGGATTGCTCCTGGAATGATCCGGGGGGGAACAAGCAGTCTTGCTAGGCGAGGAATCTTTCGCCGCCGTTCCCCGCTTGAATAGTTTATCACTCCAGTATGAGAGGTCGTCCGAGGAACCCATTTTAATTTTAACCCTGATGACTCGGCTTATGCTGTTGCTGCTGCTGCTGCTGCGTGAAGACTAGTTGCTGCTCCCGGCGGTGATGACAGTGACCCAGTGGAATTCTGGAGAATAAACCAGCCTCCAGAGTCCAAAGTTTTCGGTTCATGATTTTCGACTGTCACCTGTCTAATCTCAGGAATTCAATCCCTACAAATTCTTCGCCTTCAGAAAACATGTCCGAGGCTCGACAGGTTCATGATGATGGCGGCGACTCAATTCATGACGCAAGATCTGCTCCAAGTTATGCAGCATTGAGACAGAAATAGGGGAGCTTGCACCAACCAAGATCCGAACTCTACGACGAATCCTCGGACATCGCCATCACCATCATCGGCGCCTTCTTCAAAATCTTCCTCCTAATCCTCCTCCTTCTCCTCCCCTCTCTCCCTCTCTCTTTCTCAATCCCTCTCTGCCTCTTCCTCTTCCTCGTCGCTCTGCATGCACCAGTCACCTCATCTCATCGGATTATCCTCGACGAGCCAATCTGACCCTTCCGGGCCCCTCAGTCGCACAATACTGAGCCAATTGACTCACCAAAAACCTCCTCCTTCACCACCATCACCACCGTCATCATCACCATCCGTTCTCCCTACAGCACCACCACCACCACCAACAACAACAACAACAACAGCAGCATCAACGACCCACTGCGACACTAACCACACCACCAGATCTCAGTAACACCCCCACACACACAGACAGCTAATCCGTCGTTGAGTTCGTAATCACGTTCCTCTCACGTCCGCCCCCCTCCTCCTCCTCCCACTCCTGCTGCTCCTGCCGCTGCTCGGACAACCATCCCACCCTCCCCACCACATTCCCCGATCCCCGCCCTCCGGATCCAGCACCGATCCGACCCAATGCCCTCCGAGCCCCCCTCCCCTGATCAATCTCTCTCTCGCTCGCTCAACTTACTCCAAGAAACCCGATCACCGCAGACCAACCCCGACCAGCGAGAGCCCGGTCGGCTCCAAAGCTCCAAGGCTCGAGCCTCCTCCACCACTAGCAGCAGCAGCAGCAATAACAGCAGCGGCAGCGCTCGAGGACGACAACTGCCCTCGGGTAACAAACAGCAAGAGCAGAGGGCTCGAGCAGCGACGCCGTCCTGATAGAGCTGTGCGCGCTCTGGGAGCTCTGAGCGATGGCGGAGGCCTGCGCCCACTGTTAACAATGAACAGGCCCTGCCCAGGGCTGCCCTGGCGCGCCCTCACGATACCGGCAGAGCTGGGCAGGCGGCTCACGTCGGGCGCCGTGCCGGTGGAGGCCGGGCCACGGTTCGGCCTCCAAGCATCCGGGAGGCCGGGCGGGGCGGGCACCGGAGGTGGCGCAGTCCACATGGCAGGCATGGAGGCCAGGTGTTGACGAAAGCGCAGATCCAAGTCACGCACGACTTCGCTGCAACGCTCGCTCTCGCTCGTGTGCATCACTCCGTCGGACCGAAGTGCCAGCGCGGGCCCACCGTGCACCCTCGGAATCTGCTGGATTCGTCCTATTCTCGCAAGACCCGGATGCCCCCCGTCGCCCGTCAGTCAGTCAGTCGGTCCTTCCTGTCAGCCTTCTTCGGCCTCTCTCGGTCGGCTCGCACGACGCACGCAAGCAAGCCTCCCCGCGAGCCAGTCGCCTGCCACCGAATCTCCCCGGATTCCTCACCGGATCCTCCAAGATTCCGTCTCGAAGAACCCCGCCCCCCAAAGCGGGCGATCCGAGCCCATCCCTTGCCCCCAGGCCGCACCTGGTCCTTGCCTTCGGGCCCCAGCCTCCCCCGGAAGCCATCGGGCGGAACGCTGTCCTCTCGAGGCCGTACCTTGGGCCCAAGAGCGACGGTAGATCCGGGCGTGGGACAGGGACCGAAAAGCGAACGAGGGACCGGTCATTCGAAAATGATGCAAGAAAAGCAACGCCCCCGGTGACCGATCACCGGGAGACAGACGAGAGTCCGTCCAATGGCGTGCCGGTCATGGTGTCATGATTCCTACATATTAAATACTTCGTAGAGTCGATGCCGCATCATAAATCGCCGGATCGAGACCGCGCGCAAGACAAGCGTGGTTGGTTACTGTTCGTTGCGGTCGTCCTATCTTCCGGTTGTCGCCTCATCTCGGCTCATCTCGCATCATCTCGCCTCATCTCCATGCCATGGCATGATAACGTCTACGCTTGCGGTCATACGCTGGGGACCTACAAGCGAGGGGACGGGAGCGGCTCAAGGAAAAGGAAAAGGAAAAGACGGACCTACAATATGCTCTTGTAGCTAACCAGCGACTCTTATTTATGCGAGCGAGCGGATTTGGCTCACAATTCAAACGCCCGCGAGATGATCTTATCCTTGCGGGGTTTTTTTAATTTTTTTCAAATCCGTCATCCGCGGATAAAGCGTTACGAAATGAGAGCGTCGAGTTTCTCGACTAGGCGCGGGAGGCGTTGGATATTTATTTAAGCGGGGGAACGTTGAGCATGTTGGCGTGCCTGAGCGAACAAATGGCGAGATAATTGCGAAAGAAAGGGTCGAGCGATCAACGGCTGGCTATCGAATATGTGCACCTCGTTGGTACATGACGTCGATGCAGGGCTGTGAATTTGGAAGAATTTGGCGGGGCGATGGAGCGGGCGACGGAATGTGGACAGAGAATTGGGCATCCGCGCATGATGGGTTGTGTCGAATGTGCTTGTGCGCTCGGTGCTGGTGGGTCGCGGTGGCCTCTTGGGCTCGGACTCTGGGGCTTTTGGATGAGGGAAGGAAGGGAGGATCTGGAAATCATCCATGAGCAGGATGATGTTCGCAGAGGTCGTGCGAGGAAATCTGCACAGTGCCAACTTCATGGTTCGATGTGCAAGGCAACAAAACCGGCCCGTGGAACGAGGACTCGCTCAAGGCTCGGGACTGTACTGGACTGTGCCTAGGCAGGACAAGGAAGCCAGTCACGTAAACTACGGCAAAATAATATACTCTAAAGTCGAGCCAACTCGTGAAAAAAGAAACACGTCTTGTCGGTACAGGAATCGCCTCTACATTCCAGTCGAGCAGCGGAAATAAATGGAACGAAAAGATTACAGCCTGGATGAGAAAATGTCAAACGCGACCGCCACATCTTGAGGGTCTGAGGTGAACGGCACTTTTCATTCTTGAGGTCAAGTGTGCCGAGTTTAGCGGATTTGCCAACGTCAAACCTCGTTCCGTCCACCCTTTGGGTTGGGGTATCCCTCTCGCGCATGCTTGAGGATGATCGTTATCAATCGGGACACTGAAATTGCATGCGCGTCTATAAGGTTGAGGTAAAAGGGTATTAAGAAATGGTGAAACTATTTTTAAAGTTCTCTGCCTGACATCTAAGAGGAACTGCGAAGTCTTTCACCCAATGAAATGTACAACTCATCGAACTGCATTAACGATCTCGGCCCGTACCTCCACAAGGCTTTGGACGTGACCAAATGGACTTTTCTTTGCGTCGACAGTCCAAAGTTTTTGATTTGGGAGCAGTTGTATGTTCTCAAAGGCTAGCAATTTCTTGAAGGCAGAAAGATGGAAAGGGAGAGGGAGATGGAGGTTTAGACAACGTAACCATCAATCAACCGTTACTAAGTTTGGCCAAAGAACTGCTTTAGAATGCAAAAGTGTAACGGCATATGGTCGAGAAAGGGAAAGGAGACGTGGAACGAAAGGTGAGAGGAACGAGCATGAATCGCCTGATTCTGTAGGGCACTTCACTAAGGTACGTTTCCTCGTTCCCTTCTTATTTCTGTCTACTGGAGAGGAGCCGAGAAAACCGGGCAACGAGGCAGAATCATGACTATTCAAGAAGTTGTGACAATATGCTCCACACACAAATACGGTCATTTACTTCCCCTTTCATGGAAACGTGTCGCAACGAAGAAGACAAAAAAGTGGAGCATCAATGACCTCTGTGGGTGGAGAGAGAGAGAGAAGAAGAAGAAGAATAATAAGAAGAAGTAAAAAAGAACGATATACTTTGTGGACAGAAAGAGAGGTCGAGAAAAGCGGGAAGACTGTGCTTGGTAGAGATGCGGTGGGTCTATGCTAACTGAGCCTAGGCCAGATGAGCCTACAGAAAGCAAGATACTCTCCGCAAGAACAACAGAGACAGACATTTCATATTCAAGTCCGTCAATGCACCTTGACTCGGCATTGGACTGCTTAGCGCCCCGTCTTCAGTTCACTAGCGTCAGTTCAAGGTCAATGGACGCAGTATTTTCTCTTTCTCTCGCACCCTTAATTACGAAAGCTCTTGTTTTATCTGCTTCAATGAAAATGGAATAGCCTAGGAGTCTCTGAACGACAAAAGGCTGCAAGCTTTTAACGAAAGTTAGAGACTACGATTCTGACTACAGTTGCACCTGTGAGGTAGTACTGTCTGAATGTCAACTTCCATGGCTTCTGTGGTTCAGAGTTGGAAGAACAATTGCGATGGATGTAGGACAGGCACGATATATACCATGTACAACTGCAGGGTTTATATTATCTGGCATGATTAAATGTCAGATATCAGAGGTGTATAAGAAGAAGCACAGTGATCTTGATCCAGGAATTTCCGGACTGAAGTGTCGAGAGGTGCAATATTATTGCAGCCTAGGGCGTCGGCAATTCAATCCTGTCTTATCAACTATTACAATCTCTTTGACGTGTACCCTTATTCTCTCGACCTGTACGCAATAGTGAATAGCGTTCCGCCATGTCTCCCTTTATGCAATTTCGAACTCCTTCGGTGTCTGCCCAGTTCCTCGATCGAGTCTCGAAGGAGTCCGGTATAGAACTATATTTGAGTTGACTTCGGCCCAGCTTTTAAGACCGTTGAATTTTCTATTGATTGTCTTCCACGTTTCTCCTCGGATGAAGCGGAAAGCATGGTTCACAAGATCCTGCATGGGGGATTGGAGTTCAATAATACGACAAGACCGAGGAACAATTGTAGGCCGGCAGGGACTTTTGGGAAACGAGTATTTTAGAGACTTTGGCGGTGGATTATTAATCAGGCAACCCATAGTCGTGATAGACATTGCTTCAGAACTATTTTCACAGCCACTGCACCATGACTTGAATGAGCCCCGCTGCTTTCATCCTACAGGTTTTTAGCTTCGTGTACGTCAATAGTTCGCTTCGATTAACAAGGCTGTATAAAAAACCTCGAAAAGACACAAGGTCCAAACGTCAGATGACAAAGTTACATATTAATATTATACACTCGTCAATGTTGGAAGTAATTTGGCCTTTATCGAACAAGAAGCCCTCATGTGCTGTACTAGTAAGGACATATGCAGGTTAACGAGACTTCCGGACGGAGGCAAATTCTGCGTAAGATTTCAGTTTACTCAAGTGGTATCTGTCCATTTCTCCAATATTCCAGACAAGCAGGACACAAAAACCGCTATGCATCCATATGTGGTGAATCCATGCATACAAAGCTCTTTGTGATAAATTTCTCTAGCAGCACCATTACTCTAAAACATGTATGTGACATCTTGTCTTCCGTGACTGAGCATATGGCATCATTCGATAAACAATCAACTCAAGTGACACAGTAATAAAGTGATAGCATTCTCCAATTCTCTGTACAAATGGAAACATTCTTCCAAGGTTCCAGAAAGGCCTTATAAGGAAGAAAACAAATCTCTTGTGTGGCCTTCACAAAAGACGTCCTATAAGGCTTTCCTGTCCATAGAGAGTAGCCTGTTCTGAAGAACAAGGTTTACCATCCGATGTTTATGGAACTAATTCCCACCATGCTTCCAGTTCAGATAAGTGTATCTGCGCTTCAAGCATTATCATAACGACTTATCCCAAGGTTTAGGAAGAAACTCACGTAAAAAACATTTTTTAAAAAAAACAGGAAGAAGAAAATACAGCAGCATCATCCTCCTGAATGGTTCCATGCTGCATACACGAGCCCACATTTAACAAGTTCCATGGTCCCACTGTCTGAAGACAGTTCTCTACACAGCTTCTCGATTAGTTGACAAAGTTTACGATTCAGCTAACCCCACCGGCACATCATGGTACACAATATTCTCCTCTCTGTCAGACTCGTACATATCCACATCTTCCCCTCCGTCTGCCTCCTCGTCCGATAGTTCTGCTACTTTCATGCTGAACACAAAACGATATACTGGTGAGTATTGTGCAGAAAGATAAGCCTTTCGATTCGTACAGATCAGTGGAACACGAAGGCATTTGTATCGAGCATCTTTAACTTAATCAGCCTTTTGGTTTGTGGGGATAAGACGAGCGTTAGAACTTCCGCCGGTAAAGACACAGAAACGAAATCTGACAAGGAAACTGAAGGCCTACTAGATTTGGAGTTTTAGATCATTCAAAACAGAGTTTTGAGTGAAAAGGGACAACAGCAAGGTTCCATTCCATGTCAATAACATGTGTGTTTATTAGTTAAAAGGAGAGTTAATGTTAATGCCTGGAGAAATATCAATGCTCTCAAAACGTACTCATGAACTGATGCAGATCTCTTCTTCAAGTCACTATCTTGGTCCCTAATCAAGATCCAACCTCCTCGGAGGCAAGTCCATTTGTAGAATGCTGTATCTCCCTGGTCACCTCTGTCTCACTTCTTAGGCTAAGAAAAACAGAAAAAGAATGATGTGAACAATCTCTAAAGGCCAGATCATGACACTTTCTAATTATATGAAATAAGAAAAAGTAAGGGCTTACTTCTTTTCTCATTGAGGAACCAAACAGCAGTTATAATGAATCTTATGATTAACTTGTTCATGGTTATGAAGACCCAATAAACTGTACCGTTCAGTAGTTTTTACCTGTCAGCCCCTGAAAGCGACTTTCACTAACCTTGGACTACGATAGTCTCCTAAAATTTATTCTTTTGATATTCAATTTTAAGTGCAATATGATACACAGAGAAGTACTTCGTGAGGGTATAAACAAAAATATATATTTGCTATACAGCAAGGTCGCGTATACAAGAGGTGGGACAAAAGAAAGATAAGAGCAAGGCCAGAGGCCAATAGCGTAAAGAAGCAACGGAGGAAAGATACTTGAGAACTAGGTAGAGGGCAAACAACAAATGGGTGTAAAAAAACTGACCATTGACAAGCAAAGAGAGGCATGAACTGTGCGTAGGCTGCACAAAAGTACAGAAACCCTTCACATCAACCATTCACGTACTGACAAATTATTTTCCAAGGTAGGCTGATTCCTTATGTTTCACTTAGTTGTTTACACGAATAACCACAAGTGAGTGCACAAAGTTCGCTACTATAAAAATTAAAACGGCTTGTTTGAACTGTAGTCAAATGGGAGTGATGCTTCAACTCACCTTTGTTTCAGATTGTAGTCCTTGATCTCCCGACAAGCTTCTTTAGAAGCATGTAACACCATCTTTTTGACCTGACATTTTAAACCAACGTTCCATTGATTGGACGAGCATAGAAAGTATTAACTTTGCATGGTCGAAATTGGTCATCATACAGAACGAAGAATAGAGAAAACATGAACCTTAGATCGACATTAGACACATGAGAGGGCTCGTATTGAAAACTTTCTAGATCCCAGAGAAACTGAAACGAAAATTCTTTTAATAAGCATATGTTATCATAGCCACTGCTGCTGTTTGAAATGCTTAAAAGGATCAACCTCAAGCTTGTCCTCTTTCGCACGATGATCTTTAGGAAGCAGGCGGAATTCCTCAGTCAGAGCGATACACTCTTGGATATTCTCAGGTGAAACGAAGTCCAGAGCGACCTTGATACAAGACTGCAACCGAGCGCAAGAAAAATCCATTAATTCGTCTATTACTCAAAGGAGGTAAGAAATAATGTTAAGAAACAGTCCGAAGAAACGGCCCAGGTTTGAGGACGGTGCAATGTGATGTGGAACAACAGGAGAAGGATGCAACGAAATTACAAATATCAATTTTATCAGCATCTTCCGATGTAGTCTAGCTGGTTAGGAAACTCGGCTCTCACCCGAGCGACCCGGGTTCAAGTCCCGGCAACGGAGTCTACACAATCTGGTGAATTAGTCACCAGATTGTACTTTTATTAACCTACATCTTGAAAAGAACAAGACTTGTACAAAGACTTCTACGTTTTTAAGCACGTGAATCGAAATACTGGAGACCCAGGCGGTGCTTCGGGTTATCGTCCACAGACTATGATTACACCAATAAGAGATGTCACCTATCAGAGTTCTTGAGATTGGCATAAACCACCTCCAAATGCAACATATAAAGTACATAGATAGACGTGAAACTAGTCTTGGCAGAGCCTGTAATGTTTGATGAAGAGGTACAACACCTTCAAGTTCCTAACTTGATGAGGGCATCCAGCCGGAATAAAAACCGCCTCTCCATAATGCTGTTCAAAGGTCCACGCCTCGATTTCTGCCATTTCAAGTCAATCGGCATTCGCGATCATTAATGCATGATCATTAAAACGCTGTTGTTTGAAAACCTTATATACAGTTGAGTTTCAGTTGAAAATACTTACGATACTCCTCCTTCAACTGCTTCTTGTGTTGTTCATCCAAGTAAAATGTTTGGTCATGGATAGGGTGTTGAACCTGCACCGTACGAGAAGTAATCAATTCCCGACCTTTGAAGACTACATAGGTAAAGCTTGCATGATTGGATGGGCTTCAGTTGAATCCCTTACCCGAGGTACAGGTCTGTTCCCATGATGCCTGAACTCCTCTCGATGCTTTCTTACATATTCTTCCAGTTTCGGAACATCTTCCCGCCTGAAAATATCCCACAGAGCACCACCATATGGAGGAGACTCAGGGGAGGGTTCCTGTTTCACATCCTCCTTCCGTGCGTCAAGCTGCTCTTCCCCATCTTCATAACTTCTTTCAGTCTCTTTCTGTTCACAATGGGATGGAGAACCTGAGTCTGGAGATGCTGAGCGAGAGATCATCTCTGAGTCCTTGGGTACAGACACATCCCGTGTCCCAGACTCCTTAGGCATAGGCATTTCTGCTGACTCTGAATCCTTGATTAGAGGTGACTCTTCTGTCTCTGAGTCTTTGGGTACAGGTATCTCCGCAGAACCTGAGTCTACTTCACAAACTGCTGGTGTTCGAAGCTGTTTGTCGTGACCTCTTTGCTCCCTCTCACGTAAAGCTTTGATCATGTTTTCCTGCTTTCTCGTGAGTTTCACTTCTGATGTATGAGTAAGGACATTGACCTGCAAGCAAAAGAGCATACATGAAAATTGTACTTCTTGTCGTGGCAACCTAGGGGGAATTCACAACCATTATACATTCACGAAAGCTTTTCTCCATCGAGCACAATACATAGTGCACAATACGGAGCACTCGGTAACATCTTGGAATAAGAGAGACATACCGCATCAGACATGTCACAGTGCAACTTTGTCACGGAATCTCCCTTGCCGAGCTCTTGTCTGGTGCCATAGGCAATGTATGTCTTCGGCCCCAGGTCAGGTTTCAGAGCAGCTGGTGGCAGCTTGCTTGCCAAGTTGAGCAGTCCACCTTTAGGGTGAGTATACTCCTGAAATGGAAGAGCTCTTATAAATTCAACTCCATGTCGAGGCAGACGTTCATGGAAGTAGTTGGAGGGGGGCCAATCTTTCAATTTGAGCATTTCCGGCCACTGGTTTCTATGCATCCTGCCTTCGGAGTATCCCCTGAAGAACTGGTGAATATTGATCTCAACCTGTACAAGGATATACTGAGGTTAGAACAAGATTCAATACAAAAATCGACGTACGTTTGATAAAGATAACAAGTACTCAAAAGATAAATCAGTACAGTGTTGAGGCTGGTGGCAACAAATGTGAAACATGCGAGGAAATACATGTGCAGCAAATACAGTATGAAACACAAAGAATGGACACAACGTGTAGAAAAAAGGGTGACGCAAAATCAGAAAGAGATTTATAGGCAGGAAAACAACGTCACCACACTGTTCTCTTGATTGTAATGTGTACTTGGCTACAAAAAAGGTAGGAGACATAACTTGAGAGACGAATATTTGATCGGCTCAACGTTTTCAACAGTCAAATCATAACTAACCTACTCGATATGATGAAATATTTGTGAAGCTCGTTCAACTCCTCGAAGGAAAATGTCACAAATGAAATCTTACCTCACACCAATCCAAACAATCAAGGGCCTTTACAGATTTGTTCTCATCTTGGAACCTGCCCTTAGTGGTTTCTCTGAAAGCTCTCCACATGACCATGGGCTCCCAACTCAGACCTGTAGCACACTGGAGTACATCCCGTACGATGACAGGCTCACCGAGTTTCCAATGCCTTTGGAAGTGCTCCAATCCTTCCTCCTTGACCTCCATAATTGTTGGACAGTAGATGTAGTTGTCTCTGCCAGTTGGTCTCTGGGCGGCCAAACGTTGACTTGGGCGCTCTTCCACGTTTGTTCCACCATCCGAAGAGCTTTCTATATTCCCCTCATCACAAAAATCGCAAGTTTTGTTTTCCTCCCCGGGAGTGGCAGGTTGATCAGAACTACGTACAATATGTTGTGCATCTGCCACCAGTTTGGACAACCACTGAGGTTCGAACAGTGTGTTCAGCTTCAGCGGGGATGATAATCCACACCCACCTCGTTCCTTGGGAGGACAGCAGATACTGCCATCTGCATTAGCTTTCCAATCTGGAAAGCTGTCCTTCTCAGTAACTTCTCTATCCGCTCTTTCTGCTGTTTGCTTCTTGGATGACACAGCCATTTCTCCTCCCGGCTGCCTACCATCGCGCAGCTCATTGCAGCAAGTCAGGCACAGATCATAACTGCAGCCAGGGCAAGTTCGGAAAAAATCTACGATCGAGGTGCTGCAGTTGTCACTGTGAGCCAGACAAACAATCAGGGAAGACGTTAATCTTAAAACGCATTGGTTGCATATGTTGCATGATAAACGATCAACCCATAGATGTTCCTACGCTCTCGCACAAAGAGATGGTGACGGCGATGCTTTAATCAATTTAAACTTCCGGTACTACACGACAATGACAAAAGGCAAATGAATGTCTATAAATTCTACTCGTCCATTATGAACATAATATCAACATTTATGAAAATAACTCCATAGTTAGATCTCAAGAAAATCGAAATATACACTTTAAAAAATAAAAAAACACATAAACTGTTCACCCATGTGTACAAGTACTAGAGGATATATCGGCTTGCGTATGATAAAGAGTATAAACCTACCTAAATGCACCCAAATACTACAGCTGGAGGAAACCAACCTTGATAAAAGAACGTTTTTCTTATTTTACAACTACGTCAAAGCATTGTACGGCCAATGTAGTCCAGGGTCAAAATCACAGACATTCAGTGACATGAGACCAGACGATAAGACGGTAAAAATCCTGGTAAAATCAAAGAAAAAGATTTAGGAGGAAGGCTGAATTTACCAAAATAGGCGTTCATCAAGATCAATCCCCGCTCGTTCTGCCTTCTCAACAACTTTGCCTGCAGAGGTAAGAATTACAGACCAAGTATGCAATTTACTTGTAAGATTCTTATTTGTTTGAAAATTCCAAAAAGCCAAGATAGAACCAGAAATAACAGTACCTTAACATGTGTTGTTACATTAAGACTTTGGTATTGCAACCCATAACCAAGACAAGGACATGCGAAGGCAAAAAAGTGTATGATCCTTAGCATGAGGTCTTCATGCGAACGGTCGCCCTAAATTCTACTGCAATAGTACCAAAAGAGGCAAAAGACTGCACTATATCAAAACATAGAAGATTGGTCTTGTAAAAACAGACCTCGAAGTTTGCTTTCAATCTCCAATTCCTTGTGCTGCTCCTCTTGCAACTGATTAAGGTACGGCAAGACCTTAGTGAGCATGTATTTCGAAAGCTTTATTCTTTCTGACTCGCTCTTCTCAATCTCATCCTGCAAATGACATGAACCAAATTAAAACAACGCAATATTATAATTTTCAGGGTTATGTGATCAGTCCCGTCTGATCATTGTTTATCATTCATGTTATTATTGTCTCACTAGCAAGATTAATAATACCAAAAGTTGTAAATTTGATGCAAAAAAGTTTCTGAGCTATGGATAAAGCAGACAAATGGCCTTGTACTATGAAAGCCAAACTTCGGGAGAAGAAGATGTCCACAGTTGTATGGTAATCTGCTCCCTCATTGTATATGCAGGCCAAAAGTTCCAGTCTGGTCTTAAAGTAATTTATCAACAACAGACTTAGGGTCACAGGCTTGCTTCATAACTTAATAACATGAAATTAGATAGGTGTTTCTGTAAACAAATAATAAGTACCTCTATTGGACCAGCTGAACGCAGACACGCTTTGCAGTTACAGTTTCCTCTGCAGAAAGGACAGTTTGTTTCGAAGTCGTCCTCTGTTAAGTCGGGATACCTGGTTCGAGCCATCAAACAGACATAGAACAACGCATGAGACAAGGTCACGCGAGAGCAACGCATTTACTCAAATGAGCTCAATTACAAAAATCAGTCGGCACCTGAAAACCCATCAATCACCATTCGTTTGTTTCATGCATACAAAAACATCGTACAACTTCTTCGCTGTAAAGTGTCTAAATCATGTGGGCTTTAGCATAGGATATCTACAGACAAATTCTTACCACTTTGCAATGCAGAGGGTGCAATACCGCTTTCTTTCACACTTGGTACAGCGTACTACGGCTCCCTTATCGTTCCGCTGGCATTGATGACACATCCTACTCTGCTCCATACCTTTTGGTGAAAAATCTCCGCTATAGTTCCTCTCCTGGGAAATTTAACTATGATGATCAGCGTCGGACACGTTATACAAGTTGCATCTCAACCAGAGGCAGGAAAGAAAATACGGGAAGAAAAGCAATAAGATAGCGGACGCATTGACTGACGCCTTGAGAGTGGAGGTAGAAACAAATGAGTAATGTAACTTGGGTGGCATACCAGACTATTCTTTCATACGACTACTTTAGGCCAGAAAAAGAAAGTAGAGACAACTCAAAGACAGCATACTGCTGAATCAATACAGATGTTATGACAATCATTCATAAGCGAGCTTTCAACCTTACCAAATAATCTCCACCTCCAAAATTTCGCATCTCTTTGCCATTGATGAAAGAGGCTTTTTTAAACCTCTCACCATTCAGGGCATCTCCATTACTCACAATAGGCCATTCTCCTCCTGATAACTTCCGAGGGGAATGGGATGATCGAATTTTTGGAGCTTTGTTAGTCTTCTCTCTATAAATCTTCTCTTTCAAATCTTTGACCTCTGCTTTTTCTTCCTCAATACGCTTCCTCTTTTGGCTGGAAAGTTTTGAAGAAGGTAGAGATTTGGGTTGGGCAATAGGGTGCTTCGGAGCAGCGGAATGAACCTTCGATGATGCAGGTTGAAATTTATTGATTGAGGCAGATTGGACTCTACTGCTTGCAGTCTGGACTCCAGCAACTTTTTTATTGGACCGACTTTTGATGTAAGCATAGTGCTTCTCACAATAAGACAGTCCATCCAAGGCCCAAGCAGAACACTGCCACTGCTTACCATCTGACCTCTTGCACCTGCTTTCAGGTGGAGGCGGGGGTGGCTTATCAGCCCTACTTGTTTTCTTGCGAGCGACTGGTTTGGCCAAAAGTTTCTCATTATGGGATTCCCTTCCTCTTTTGGATTTAGCACCTCCATCCCCGATCACAACTTTTTTGCTCTCCACCTTCCTTATAACAGGGGGTTCGTCATCTTCCTCCCTGAAACAAAATAACATCAAGAGATGACTAAACTTCAGACTAAAAAGATGGTACAATGTAAACAAAGAATGCCTTTTGGAACGAATCCAAGAAGTACATACTCTCATAAACATCAAATAACATCCGTAGAAAGTCTCTAAAATATTCGGCTGAAAACGTACTCAGCCGTGTTTTCCTTTCGAAGCCCAAAAATATTAGACTCCACATGAGCAATAAGAATGCGACAGGGCAATATAACTGACTTCTAAGCTTGAATACAATCTCATACAATCTGATGGGACACATTAACAGGTGTAGTATGATAAAACATAGAAGGAGAACCTGATCTGTTTCCATCAACATCACCTTCCAAGAAGGTAAAAGTACCATCAAGTTTAACCATAGCATAACATAAATAGGGGAAATTGTTCTTACTCGGAAGAACTCGCATACACAATAGTCCGCTTGGGTTTACTAACTGCCTTCGGAATTCTTCCAGGAGGTTGTGGAACGATGACAGTACGAACATAATCATCCTTCTCCAGTCTGTGCTCTGCTTTCTGTTTCAACGAATCATAAAAAAAATCAGCATCTGTGACCATGTGTAACAAATTCGCATTCAACAATTTAAATTCTGGGCACTTTCGAACACATAACCACGAAAAATTCGTTGCATATAAACTCAACAATGGCGCATACCTTCCGCGGTTTGTCCTTCTCCTTGTCCTTGTTCTTGCGCTTGTTTGGGGAAGCCACCAGAAGATCGGACAGCTTTTTTGCTGCAATAAAGATTACAAGAAAAGGATAGCATTCGTCAAAGGCGCGTAACAGAGACAACTGTGACATGAAATTTTGATCAGTTTAGTATGAGCCAACTCAATGACTACCCGGTCTTAAGATCTCAAGAAGCTGAAATTTCCCATTATTTCGAAGAATCTTCCATCAATCTATTTATCTCAGTATCTGCTTCCTCCCTTAGAGCCTGTCCTTGAGAAACTGAACCTTGAAATCTATGTCACAGAATTTCCGACCTTAGGTATCACCAAAAACCAGCAGTACAAAGACGACAAGTCGAGCGTCCAAGCATAAGCCTGCCCTTTTGCCTGGGTTATGAATAAAAATGACTCATTTTCTCTTGAGAGGCAAGGAAGAGATGCAAAGCTACATCAAGAAGCTAGTGACGTAACTTTTCTCGCAGTTTCCTGCCCGAGGTTCCAAATCCCACGCTGCTGCCTTGCTCTATCCAAGGTAATTTGGGGTTCAGCCGGGAGTTGGCTTCTCAATATGTATACTGGAGACCTACATGTTTGCATTTCTGACTTTCCCACCATCGTTCCTCGTTTCTAGTTAGGGGGCCGGGCCTGCTGTGTGTACTCAAACTACGGCATGGAGTCAATCGCTGACGTGGTCTCCCAAAAAACACAAAAGGATCAGTGCACAAGGAGATGTCACCGGCATGACTTCCACTTAAACGACATCTTCGGCATGGAGGCCGTCATCGACAAGGTCTCCCAGAATACAGAGGTCCAGAGAGAGATATTGTCCCGCACGCTCTCTTTCCCTCTGCATCTCCTCTCTGTCTCTATCTCTACATGTTTCTATCTGTTTGAGAAGCAATCGATGGAAAATCAGTCAGGAAGGACTCGGCACTGCTAACATTCAACCACACTGGAGATGACGCACAGCTTTCTCGAGATTTATACCCGCCACAAATTCCGACTTGACAAGGTAAAGGCCACGAATCGACTCTTAATACAATGTTTTCAGGGTAAAAGTCCTTGCTCTCTCCACAAGATCCCTTAATTACTTGTATTATTGGTGAATCGTACCTTGAAATGATCAAACTCACCACGTTATTTCTCGGGCACGGCTAATTTGATTAACAAGGTAAGAATCAATCCACCCGATACGGTCGTTAGACACCGATCTCAGCAACAAAATTGCTGACAAAATTTCCGACAACTTATTCTCTGGCAATCGCCCAGTCTCGATCACAAACGACTCATCATTGTATTTTCTCACACCTTCCTTCATGCCTCTAACTCCACGGCCACGGACTTCCACTGCGAAGTTTCAAGGAAGAGTCACCGGCGCTCTTTCTCTGTCTTATCTCTCTCTTATCTCTCTCTCTCTCTCTCTCAAAAGCACGAACCTCGTAAATTTCTGTTCAGACCTTCGAGGATTCAATAAGCTACGACCGACCGACCGTCTTCGAAAACGCCTTCATCTCGGAACAAACCATCGACCGCCACGGAAAGAGAGTTGCACGAAACAAGTCACTCACGAACATGCAACAAAAGCATACCTGGTTCCTTCGTCATCGAGGTCATGACTCCCGAGTTGACTTATAGAGAGCCAGAGCTGTTGAAAATTCGCGCCGCTTCACCCCGTCGCTCGTCCAACATACGAGAATCAGGAGCAACGCCACGGCCTTGCCCGTGTTGCCGGACGCCACTAATGCAGATACGATGCTGGTCCGCCGTGACACTCACTACCTACAGGTCGAGACCTTCCCGACGCTACGCTGTGTTGATAAGCGAGAAGAGACTCGGTGCTGACGAGACCTAGACATGCTTCTTGGCCATATCTAAATTCGGGACTACCAGTCTGTGCTCCATGCCGATGCAGACGCGCTTCGCTTCCTCTCTCTACCGCTCTGGCTCGCTCGCTCGCACGCAGGCTCTCGTTCTCGCTCTCGACTCCTTGAGGTCTGTTACAAGAAAACGTGGACCGCCAAGCTGACGTGGTAAGTCAAGACCACCATCGGCCGTCGCTCGTCCCTCGCGCTCTGTCTCTGTGCGCGTGCGTGCTGGTGGAATTGTCTGTTTAGAGGAGTAGACGGACGGTGAATTGAATCCCCCTACGAATAAGGAACAGCTGCGAGCTTTTTGATCGAGTGATTTCAGAAGGTGGACTTGCGAATTAAAATGGCCGTCATTGACATTAATTTTACCCGTTCACCCGCTCCTCGATTTGAACCGCGGAACGTTGGGACGTGAATCAGCTGCTCCTCCTCAGGACAAGTGTGTCTTTTTGTGACGAGTGCTGGAGAATTATGTGACTTTTGGGCCTCATGATTTGCATTTTATCTTCCCGCATACTGGATTGATGCTGAATATCCTGAAAATCGCACATGCCAGTGCAACTTGCCATGATCAGCTCAGTCCGCTTATGGATTGCAACAACGATGTCCCGGGCTGCAGTTTATTCGCCTATGTTTGTTTACCCTCGCCTCCAAATTCAAATCAACGGCCGCCGCGAGGCAGATAAATTGTCGGGCCTCAAATTCAAAGCACATCGTTTCTCAAAATCCAATGATGTCTTTTCATTTCATGACTGAAACTTGTTCACCTTTTCCTCCTATTTTGACAAGGCCATTCTCATCTGATGTGACCTCGCTGATCCCATTCCTTATGATGCGACTTTGGTAACGCGGTTGGTTCCTTCATGCTCTAGACAATTGTATGGAGAAGAGCTGCCTGCCAGTTCAAAGCCTTCAGGGCTAGTATAAAAGCAGGCTGCGCGATGCACCACCACTCTTTGGGATTTGATGGTCACAGATGAGGTTGTCAATCTTTGTATAGCAGCTGATGTTTGCAATGTGCAAGCAAGACGTCTGGGTTGGAAGGTTGTCTTACTACGCCGGTTAAGTTTTGTCAAAGGCATACTAGCATGAAGCAGAATGTTCAGAAAAAGTTGCAGTTATCTCTCTCTCTCTCTCTCTTTCTCTCTCTCAAACACAAACACCTCCTCATCAAAACCTGATTAATGTAACTACAAAAAACGTGGTCGGCATCGCCAGCATCACCAGGTGTGGTGTAAGCAAACATGAACATTGACAATCAGCTTGGGCAGCTAATTTAACTTCATCATAGTGGTGCCTGATGATCATAATATGCACGTAAGTCCACAGCAGGAATTTCATCTCAACTTCAAGGAGTCCGGGCCTCGTCAAGCCTTGATCAGCGAATCTCAGCTTTACATACATGCATCTCTACATGAATGAATGAATGAAAGGAGAAGAGAAGAGAAGGCGCCAGAGGACCGGACTGGGTGATAAAAGTCTGCAGTGGCATGGGCGAATGAGTTAGTCAAGTTAAGGGATGCTGTACAGTAGATGTGTTTTAATCTTGAAGACAATACGAAGGAGGTGAGGATCACCTTACATCTCACATGATTATTTAAGTTTCGATTCGTTGACGTTCGATTTTCGATTTTCGAATGTTAACGAACGTTGGAAGTAAGTTGGGAGTAGCATGCGAGCGAGCCAAGTAATCCGTGCGCCGTATTACGGTGAACCGTTGGTTCGCTCGTTGGCTGGTTAGAGCCAATTGACAAATGCATGCGCATCCCATAATGACAGGGCCGCTGCTATAATGAAGGAGTTGCGGCGAGCGAGAAGCGGTTCATATCTCAAAAGTTCCTCAAGCGACTAAATGAAGGACATCCGCCGCAGATTCGAACACGAATGACTGAATCTGCTTTCTATGTGTATAAATCTGTTTACTGGTTACTGTTTACGGCTAGGAAGTTAGAGAGGAGTATGGACGAACCATGAAGAGAAGAGACATAAATTTTGTCGTTGAAGGATGACAATTTCATCTACGCTTTTACTCTGCTTAGATGTATGTTCCAGGCTTAAGTAAGTCTATTTCATCCCATGCCGAGGACGTCGTGCCCAAAAGGCGAGGACTAGACGGAAAGATATATTAAACCCGCAGCTTCAACTCGTGGTTTGTGGGGTTGTTTGCCCGGTCTTCAACTTAATTCCTGTTACTAATGGGGCGAACGCACATTGTTTTGCAACAAGCGTCGAAGATACAATCGGATGATCGATTGAACATGGACTTTCACGAACCCCGGATGTGAGGCATAGCTTAAATCCACTACAGACAAATTCCCGCAAAGAAGGTCTCATTCAACAAAGACTGAGAAACAGAGGCTTACAGCGCAGCGGAGCCAAAGGATTCAAGTCAACAGGGAGTGCAGAACATACATACCGTCATAAATTACTCATGAAGCAAATGCGTCTTTTTGTAATTGTAGCTAAAGAAATTTCTTCCACCTGGATGGTAATCAATGTGAAAACGATAGACGAGATTATATAGTTTTAAATAAGTGGGTCAAAGGAAAGTTGCTGCATACATTTTTGTACCTGTTGTGGGCATGTAGCTGGTCATCCATATTACCTGATTAACATGTCATTTTCGCTTTCCGAATAACGGAACGTTTACACCTACAAAAAGGCAGGTGAAACAAAGCTTTCAAATTCGTTTTTTACAGGTGTTGATTAGCATGTGATCTAAGACTTCTGCATCGTGAATTGCACTGCATAGAAACAAGTCCAAACCTTCGAGACTTGAAGTAACTTCAATCGCAGCTAACGTACAGGCTGTGAGAGAGGTATCGGGCAACTAATGTTAGTCTGAGCATGTCATATACGCCTTAAACCCCTGTCCATTTGATGGTAAGGTTGTTGGGTCCATCACTTCACCTGAAACATTTTTAAAATCTACGCAAACCGGAGATGTTGAAATGTCCATTTCAAGTTACAGTTCTGTCTAAGTAATGTACTTGTTATATGAGATTGCCGGTGAATTCGACATATCGATCAGTCATCATTTCCTGTAAGGATAAAAGTCGTAGCTAAATTTGTCATGACGAATATGATAGGATGGATAATGCAGTCAATTGTCAAAGAAAAAGACCTTTACAGAGCTTTCTCTGTACATTTCACTCTTTATCATGGGCAGTGGGAGAACCTTTGCAGTTGTAGACTGTAGCAGGGCATTGTCAAGTCTGAAGGAATCTGAAACTTCTAAGCATAATGACCTTCGGCGTTGAAGTCGTTTGCATCGAAGAACTGATTGGTTCTCACAGCTACGTTTGTAGAATTTTTTATTTTGTCTAAAATATGTACAAGTAGACTCTTCCCCCGGAATGATTATCTCTCATTGATGATAAAGTACACTTCCAAATATCAGAAACAACCTCCTGCCGAAAAGCTAGTTCCTAACTCGAAAAAACATGTTTCCGTTCTTGTAACTCGGTCGAGGTTGCACAGACCCCACCACCAGCCTACCAACACTTTGTTACGTGGAATGCTACTCGGGATTCGCATACCGCACAAGTAGTACGTAATCACGTATACGCAACTTGTGTGGATTCCAAACTGAGCGACTAAGAAATATGGCCGGGTGAGTGACTAAGGACTATAGTCATTGACAAAACTACCACAAAATTGTGCGCGTAATAGATGATGAATGTACGAAAGATTGGATCTCCGATCGTCAATGATAGTTCCATTCTTCTGATTTAAGCCTTTCATGTTACAGGATATCTTGTCCACATCCTCAGCGTCAAAAGATGTCATCTGCTTATGCTACTATTGACTTAAGCTAATATACAGATTTTCTTAACACTCACTGTGTTCAAAGGCATAACGTAATTATAGCAAATCATGGTGCTGATGTCTTGTCCAATCTTCGGATAGCCTAAACAGTCCACAAACTGTTCGTAGTACTGTCTCCGCACTGTGCTGAAAAAGTTGTTCAATTTTGGATATCGTGAGAGAAGGTACGACAGATGCGAACTTCGTTCTCGACGTTTAGTTCAGATCTGTAGCACTATAGATGTGCTAACATATCGTAGATTTCTGTCAAAATATACTGAGAGTTTGAAATTAGTCAGTACCTCCATAAGAAATCATCAAATTATTGTAGAGGGAAGTGGCTGGATCACAAGATTCTCCTCCTACGCACCACAGCAACCTCAGTCATCTTACAACATCCCCTGCAGTTATGTAGATGGAGTTTACGTTCTTGTTAGCCTTAACACAGTGCACATGACATTTGATTTCCAAAGGATATATAGATTGGAATCAGTTTCTTTGCATCATCAATTCGTCAATGATTTAGATATGTGGCACATCATATTTGCCTTAAGACTTCTACGAGAATGAGTGCAGCCGATTTAACCAAGATTCTCAACTTTCTACGTCGTCCTTCACGAATCAAAATCCCCTGAGATTATCAACGTTAGCAGGAGCTTCTGAATATATTTCATTGTACTCTGGACTTGCATATACACAAGACAATTTCGCATTCTTCTGTTATAACCGAATTATAGAAAACAACGATCTCAAGTTCTGACTGGCCTACCGAAATTATTTTGATGGGGATAACAATTATCACATCCATATCAAATAGATAACGTGGTAGAGAAGTAACCAAATGCAAAGAAATAGAGTGAGACCTTCCGCATCCTGTCGATTAACTGTATGATTGAAACGTGGAGATGAACAACTGCAGCTCAGGGTCCTCCTGTGCAAACTCATGCTTCCTTTGCTTGTCATTACGAATCTCCTACTTGAAATCACCATTCACCACCATGACTACGTTTCTTTATACTCCTCCTCCTCGAGACATGTCTACACTGCATGCATGTCTTCTCCAATTTCGTCTTGTTCCTGTCTTTAAAATCACGTCTTCTTTGAAGCCGCGCCAATCCAAATTTGATATTGTATTCTGCACAGACTAGATTCTGCGTTACACAAACAGACGTTCACGAATATATTCTTGCTACATCCCTGGTTACCATCGTAACCAGGATGTAACTAACTAGCGATTTGAAGATATTGCAGTACACCAAAATGTGGACTCCGATGAACCAAAAGCAAGGAAGTCATATTCAAGAGTCTGAACTTTGATATGGTCACAGTTTCATCTTGTCATCACTGTAGTGGTTAAAGAACTCCACAAAATCCCTTTTGAACCCCGGTAAAAGTCATTTATGCCCACAGCATCCCCTGCCTCTCGAAAATGCGTGGTTGTTTAGTAAGTGGATGACTCACGGAGTTGAATTTCTTCCATCTTTCAGCAGAATTTGAAGATCCTTGGTAATTTAGAGCTGAAGCTGATCTTGTCACTACAGTTACTTATCTTCACAAACATCAAGCCGGCCTCTTGTACCAACGCATTCTGACAAGTGGTACCAAGACGCTTACCACAACCTTGCCTTCAACTTGTCAGTTCTGAACAATCAACTTGTCAGTTGCCATCCTGTTCTTTTGTCTGATTGGAAAAACGACTGGGTCACCTCGGCCATCTTCTTGGAAACTCAAATCTTCTCACATGTAGGGCTATGTTAACACCGCATGTTCGATAACGAGTCCGTTCATCAAGACCCTTCTCTGGCTTCAGCTTAACTTAGTATTTATGCCAAGAGGTAACGAGGTGTATTTTCTTTTATTGTGAATGCATTTGACGGTATTTCTAACTTATTGCCTTCGCTGGACATTACGTTAACATCATTAATCTCCAACAAGTTGTGAATGACTTTGCTGGGTGGATCTCATCATTTTATATACTTTGTAGTTATTTTGTATATACAGGTGTAGAAAATACATCGCATTTTTACAATATATGTCATGATATGTACAGTATTTCAAACAATGGAATTGTTATAAAAATCTTTATAGTTGTACGTATGCACAATGATCTCAAACTTTCGATTTGCATTATCATCTATCATTTCAAACTTCACCAAAATGAATTAATCTTTATCTTATCATATCATAACATATGATAAAATTTGAAAATGTCAACAAATATTGTTGCTATCAAATCAAAATTGTGACATATTTTATCTCATTTCATGTTATCTTGGCATCACCAATCATAAAACATGACATTTGGATAGCAAACTCTAGTCTTGAAGTAAGCTACATGTGACAACATAATTATGTTACGGTGATTGAGATTAACTCATGTTACGGAGAAACCTCGATCCTAGTTAAATATAGCTAGAAAGTGTCTCACGATATGGAGTTATTTAATTTCAGAGACCTATGATTGTACATGGTTTTTTCACCATTGCAACATAATCTCTCGCGTGTTACAGTATTTGACGTAGTCTTGCACTTGGATGAACCACGTTATATTATGTTTTTTCGTGTTTATCAAATTGAGTTTATCATCTTGCTAACTTTCAACTGGTTATGGCTATTTTACTATCTTGTGCTAACAAATTGATATCATGCCTTGGTTATGTTAGTGATCGCACAATGACAGTGAGTTTGTGACGATTTTGATATTTATGCTAGTTTGGAAGTATACTGACATGTGATTCATCTATTTGGAAGATAACTCTAGTGACATGGTGTGGCAAGTTGGACTATAGTCTCAAATCAAAGGCAAATTTGATGTCAATTTCAAACTTTCAATCAATTTCTAAAAAAATTGGCAGTTTTTGAAACGACAGTGACAAAAATTTTGTCAAAGCATTTTGATTATTGAAAATGCCGAATTGATTTCATTGATTTCTTCATGTGTAAGGTAATTCACATACGAAAGCAGAGAAGTGCGTATCGGATTACGCTAGCGAATGCACAAACATGCGCATAAGCTCACAATCGAACGCAAGCAACAACATTTGGATAATGAAGTCAGACGAAGGTGAATTTGATGTTGAGTAGAGACGCGGAGTCGCGCAAAGACGAATTTGAGATTAGGCAGTAGAGCAATTTGACAAATCTTGTAAAATTTAGAATAGCTCTCTTGACGTACAAATTGGATAAAAGATGTTGTCATCATCTCGTTCATACTCCTCCATCGTGATACCAAGTTTATCATTTACAACGAGATTGTAAGTGCTTTTGACTGAGGAGGTGAAACAAAAGATGTTGTCATCATTTCGTACATCCATTTTCAATATCACACTAATTGATGTGACATATTCATATCGCTATCATTATGAAGTCAAGTGGAAGAAGATGAATAGTTGAAGATATGGCAAGAGAAGTGACATCAAGAAGATCAAAGTTGTAGCACTCCTCCAATGGCAAACTTTACAGATCACTTTGATCTCGAGTAGTGATCTATGATGCCAGAAATATGTTTTCAACAGTTCATCAAAGATTGTTAGTGACGTATCGGTTTTTGACAATGCATGTTATTATCACATTTTTATATTATAGAGCTTTTTGTTATACTTTATTAGTTCAGACGGCTCAATTGTTAGGAAAATGATCAATCATATAAAATTGAAGTTGTTGAATTTGTGAAGATGCACATGTTTAAGATAATCAAACTTTTGCTAACATACGTTAAATTTATATCTAACATGATAAAGAACTTGATGTCTCACACATCTTGGATCGAAGCTTTAAGCAAGACGTGTTAGTTGTAAGATGTTGGATCATGTGATAAAATTATACTTCAAAGATACAAGTACAATAAACTTTACTTGCTAGAGATCATCACTATTTGTGAAAAAATTAATTTTATCAAATCTCGCGTTGAGATGTCTCATTTATGGCATTTCATACGAGACTATGTAAATGATAACTTCATAATCCTTCTTGATGAGAAAAAAATATTATCGGGCTTGGATAAAGTTAACTTGGTATTATGTGAACATTGTATCATGTAAGATATAAAAGCTTATATACACAATGACGTGTAAGAAACTCTTCTTGTTGCCTCACCATCCAGAAAGTTTTAGTATGTACTTTGTATATATGATTTTTCCATATATATGTGGATATATTTTCTTATTCACAAGTTTGAGGTGTTTCAAATTTTCAAAAGCTGTCGTGTCCAAATTGAGATTCAAACTTGACACTATGAGAGATATTTGCAAGGGAATAATTGCATGGAGTATGATACCGATGAGTTTCATAATAACTGTACAAAAAAAAGTACTACTCACCATTTTCTTACCATTTATACTCAAAAAAAAAAAACCAATCATGTTAAATCAAATCTTGTATTTTTATGTATGATCATATAATTTAGATATAATGTTTGTTGTCTTAGCAAAAATATTTCATGAAAATACTTTTGCTAAGGCAAAATATGTGATTTTTATATGAAACTTTCCAACAATTCATGTTTTTTATGTGATACTACTTGATAATTATGTAAAAGGTTCTTGTTTATATATGGTATTATACATATTATGTCTCTTCTGTTAACCCCCCCCCTTTGGGCCATAATTGAACAAAAAAATTCAAACATAAACCTTGACAAAGGAAGTGAAAATATTGTCTAAATATAATAATCATTTTTTGGTCTAAAAATTGACAACAATGTACAATTTCATGTAGTAGCACAAATTATACAACAATTGGTACATGACAAATATACACATTAAACAAACCACACATCATAGATTTGATATGTTGCTATGTATTTTCTATTAATAATTGAATTTTAAAAAATTAGATAATAATATTTAAATTTGACAAAAAATAATTTCAATCTAGTTTGTTAAAAAATGAATTGAAAAAAAAATGACAATTGACGGAAGAAACATAAATTCATCAATCATTTACAAATAAAAAATGAAATAGCAAATAACAATCAACAATGTATATATATATAATGAATAATTTTGGTATATTTAGAGAGTATCTAGCTACTGCTCACTTTATGTTAATTTAACCTATGCCTAGTATGCGGACATCCGTCAATACTTATAGGTGTCAGTGGCACTGCATTGATGATTCTTCTAACTTGTTGCGCCCTTCGTGTTCCTCCTCGTGGCAAGCGTTACATGGCTCACACTTGTCACGTCAAATTTTAGCCTGTCACATCAAACAATTTTGCACATCACTTCTTTCGTGCATCTAACTCTACGACTTCGCCATATGGAATTAGCCAAATGATCATCACACATGTCAGATCTTATAGCACGAACGGTTGATGCGCAAGTAGCTTACTATGAAAGCACATCGCAACAATCATGTAAACAAGTCTTGAATGCTATAACATCTTTGACGCATAGAGTTTTGTAGGCTACAACACTCTTTTGGTTACAATTTGTAACCAATAGGCGTATGATGAGGAAAGCAACATGGCTGACAATAAGTGAGACTTGTGATATCCAAATTTTGCTATGTATGCATGAATTAAGTTCTTGTTGAACAAGCATCAAACTCAGTGTGTAATTCAATCCATTGTAAAGCCACACAAGCGTCCATCTAACTTGAAACAAGTACCGTAACAAATCTGAGTTTATCGTCACGGACGAATGTTGTTCATATATTCAATTTTAACCTTTGAATATTTTTTGAGTCACAATTTCTTGGCCAACATGATGAAAGTTTGACTATTTATAGTGAACAAATTGTGAGTGTGCTCATACTCTATTACTCTATTTGAAAATGACACTCCATAACTTTATACGTTAATTTTTGAATGGCTTCTTTGACATGACAAACGTGAGCCACGTCACGTTTGTCACGGGGAGTAACACGAAGGGCGTAGCAAGTTAGAAGAACCGCCTTAGTGATGTTAACCGCCATCAATGAAGTACCACTAACACGTATAAGGAATGATAAATGACCGCAAACCGTATGTGAGGGTGAGGGCTAATTTGCCTAAAATGAGGGAAAACTAACATCTCTCTAAGATTAATTTAATATATGACATCATGAACATTTATCATATCTACATTTAACAAAATTTAGTGATTAATTTTTTTTTTTATTATTGACACAAAGATGAAAACATACAAAATATTTAAATATAGCATGTGTA